CGTATTATACATGAGACTGTATTATACATGAATAAATACGGTAATTATTTCTATCAACAATGTGTTTTCTTTCTCTCGTCCAGAGGAAAATACACCTGGACCTGTTCTTCTGTGTTTCTCTGTGTCTCTTTCCTGTCCTCAAACCAGCCGGTCGAGACAGATGGCCGCCTGTCCTGAGCCTGGTTCTGCTGGAGGTTTCTTCCTGTTAAAAGGGAGTTTTTCCTCTCCACCGTCACCAATGTGCTGCTCAGGATGGGCGACTGTGATGAAGTGATTCATCACAATCTGTTGGCTTCTTTAGATTTATTGTTTTTCTCAGTGCCCCGAGATGATGTTTGCTGTGACTTGTCACTATATAAATAAACTGAACTGAATTAGGGAAATCAGGAGATTGTAACAAAGTGAAGATTCAAGTCAACCCTCCCATCCTGAGCAAACACAGTGGCGACAATGAAAAAGGAACGACTCCCTTGTTATTCCGGGAAGAACCCTCCAGCAGAAAGAGGCTCATGGGCGGCCATCTGCCTCGACCGGCTGGGGTTGAAAGGGACACAGACAAACACAGATAGATGCCTTATGGTTTGCCGTGTGCAAATTCAATGAACTTTAACTGTGGCACCTTGTAAAGCCACCAGCTGCACGTTGCTTACTGCAGCAAGAATTCATTGTTGTAGAACAGAAGCGACAGCAAATGGTTTCTGCACGGCTTTAGTTTTACATGGTTTAAAAGGGTCCTTAGGGTGTCATGTACCACAGTTTGTGTTGTGCTTGTGATATTGATTAAATGTTTATTTTATGTTAATTAAATTACTCCACTATTTCACAAGAACTTCTCAGGTAATTCCCTCGCATCATCATAGAGAATTATCGTCATATGTTTTTCACTGCTAATAATGAGGACATCTCAAAGTTGTACTGAGAAGTTTGTACATTCATATGCAGCTTTATATCAACCTATTTCCAGCTTGTTAAGATTTACGAAAAAAACAGTCTGAATAAAAATATTGTCATAGAGCTGCGTGTTCATTTGTGCAATATTCACATTATTTTTTGCAATTAATAATTCAAAACTTCCCTTTTTTTTGCAACCGTGATTCATTTGCAGACTTCATGAGTAACTTTTTGCATTTTCACTAAATACTACTTCTCGTCCTTGACATTTCCCACATTGACTGTGCGAGGCATTAAGAAACTTTCTTTTCCCAAATGAAACCAAGCTGTCGTTTCCTTCACTGGCCTTTACCACTGCTCCTAACTTCCAATGATTTCACTTTTTAGTTTTTTTTTTATGGAAGCCTAATAATTCAGGTTTAACCTTTCCAATAATAATAAAAAAACAAAAGTTATTTCAGCCCCAGCCCTGCAACAGTAAAACAAACTGCTGTAAAGCTGTACATTGTAAACTTGATGAAATGATTCATTGTGGTAATTTTTGTATTTTCTGCTGTGTGATTGGTTGACAGAGGTGTGTGACAGTCAACTAGTGGCCAATCTGCCACCATCATCCTTCAGAAGCTCTTCCCAGCTGTCCAGCAGTCATGGACCAGTGTTTGCTAAAGTCAACAGAAGAGAAGGTGAGGGCCCTTTTATTTATCTTGTCCAAACTTAAAGTTCAACCTGAACAACCAGGACTATGACATCATCCTGACAGGCTGATATCACACCCAGTGACTTTAGACTTAACCTAAAAAGGTTTTGGTCTGAAGCTGTATTTCCATCCAATTTTAATTAGATTTTTTATGCAAACTTTTAAAATGTCGCAAAATATGAATTGCGCATCAAACATGTTTCCATCTACTGGCTTGAAGTGAATCAACCAGGCTACACAAAGTGTAATTACGTCAGATGTTAACGTTACGCATGGCTGTAGTAAACAGGAAGTAAAGTCAAAAACTCACAGGGACACATCTCAGGACAATGGAGAGAATTTATCAGCAATGTGTTGCTACTAACAGGAAAGTTGTAATTATTCTGTCATGTCAGCTAGTTTTGGACATGTTACATGTTGTCTGGAGACGTAGAAAAAGAAATGCATTTCGCTTCACGTTACCGAAATATTCAGGAAGACAGCGACAGTGGGAGGAGGGTCCAGCTGCAGCCACTACTGTTATTAGACAGCAGGAACAGCTGATTGAGGTAAATGTTTGCCAGATCAGGGGTCGGATTTATAAAACTGGCGTACGCACAATTTGAGCCCAGGGGTCAGATTTATAAAACTGGCGTACGCACAATTTGAGCCCAGAAACTTGCGTACACCACTTTTTACGCCAAGGTTGTGATTTATAAAATCCAAACTTGACGTGAAAATGTGCGGTGCCTCACGCCAGCTTTGACCCATGCGTACGTTCATTTTGGAGACGTGAAACTGCGACACAGATGGTGAAGTGAAGAATTAGAGCCACACTGTGTAATGATCACTGTCAGATATTTAATTTCACTTCATCAGACTTAGATTTTTATTCAACTTTATCATCAGCTTTCTTAACAGTAATATTTATGCTTCTGCTGCTGAGCCACGAGGACCTTTGAAATAAATAAAAACTTAGATCTTAAATAAAAGTTCCCGTGTGCAACTCCATTCATCTGCTTCCTCCTCAGACGACCCTGACCCACAGACCCCTCCCTGACCCACAGAACCCTCCCTGACCCACAGATCCCTCCCCGACAAGAACAGCAGGACAGCAAAAGCTTTGGATACACGCGCAGGGCGCATCCACCTCGCCAGTGTGAATGTTATAAACGTTTAAAGTCCGTGTTTGTCACGCGCATGAGGGGATGCGTGCACGTGTGTGTGTGTGTGTGTGTGTGTGTGTGTGTGTGTGTGTGTGTGTGTGTGTGCGCGCGCGCAGGGGGGGGTGTGTCTGCCGTGGATAACAG